GATAAAAAAAAAAAAAAAATAGGAACGGGATGCTTTATTAACAAAGATACATTATTTCTGCTCCGATATCAATGATGTTACAAATGGATGTAGAAATACATTCTTTATTTTGTAAAAATGCCCTGCATCCTGATAAAATAGCTCTCAATTTTATGCTGTTTCCAATCCTCACAGCAGGGGAATTATCACATTATCCAACATGCTGGCACAGGATTGCTGAGTGACAGATTTCTTACTTAGTTTTATCCCTTCATAACACATATAGAGATGAGATGCTTATTTTGAAGCAATATATAATTCAGCAAAAAATCATTCTTGCTCATAAAGCTAGATTATTACTTAGAAGTGTACTGATATACTCAATTAAGACGTTTTGTTAGTTGAGGTCAGTTGTAAAAGGGGTGTTATTAAATATCTAATGGTAGAGGATATATATATTTTAGTATTTTAATGCCAAAATCATTTAAATCTTAATTCCAAAGATGCATCTATTACTAATAAGAGAAGATATCTACTGATTGACAAATAGATGACAACTAGTTTTGTTTCGTTTTTTAATTTTTCAAAATAAACAGTTCACTTTATCTGAAATTGTGGGGATGTTAGAGAAAAGACAAATATAAGTTGTCTTATGATGATCTAGCTGATTAAATTGTGTTTTGCCTCCTTGCAGTTGCTTATGCTGGCTTTTCTTCTGACATACCTTTCCCACGTTTTTGGACCTGGCTGACATTTTCTTCATTTTTCAAGCGTCAGCTTCAGGGACCATATCATAACTCTTTCATAATTCTTACACTGTTGAAATTATTGTTTATGTGCCTGTGTTGACAACAATACTACTGCAAGACCCTGCAGTCTGGAATTGTTCATATAATAGTTTAATCCCTCCCACTTAGCACAGTGCCTACCTGGCTCACAATAGGCAGTTAAAATATATCTTGAACTAATCCGCAAATAAATGATCTGTTTTACCAAAAGAGCAGCAGCTTCACCAAAAATGTTCACTCATACAGGTGAAATTATTTTCTTTTAAGTTCCTTTTATAAGTAAATGGAGTAATAAGACAATTATTCAAAACAACAACAGCAAAAAGCAATGGCCAAAGTCCCACACTGAGACAGAGCAGTTTTTTTGGCCTGTCCTTCTTCAAATGACTAACTTATGACTAATCACTTGTGTATTTTCTTCCTTTCAAAGTATAGCCATAGTGTAAACATACCTGAGTTTCTCAATCTAAAAGCAATTCTTTACAACTTTTCCCATAAGATTCTTTTACATGATTTAAACATTATTGGATGGTTAGCAATTCCTAGTATCAAGTGAATTTGTGTCAATAATATACTGTTAGGTTAAAATTTTTTAAGTGTTGAAAAAGTTGCAAATCAATGTCCAACAATACATTTGCTGAAAGGATGTTTTCTAAGGAATAGAAGTTACTATAATGTTTCATTGTATGACACTTGTCTACACACTGCAAACCGGAGTAACCTCATGCGGACTGTAAAACTAAAGCTTTCCTAACAACTCCAGCCTAACTACCTTTTACCTCTTTCTGAGGGATTTTCTGTTTCTTCCACCTGTGGGTCTGTGGACTCTGTTTCTCCCTTGTGATTGGCAGTCAGCCTTGCTGCCTTCAGGGGGACCTGGGACAGTGGGGCTCAGGAAAACCGCTAAAGCAGTCCAAGTTACTGAGATAAACACCTACTGTGTAATGCTCCTGGTGAATTTGTGTAAGCTTTCTGAGTCTGCTATCCATATACCATGACCAGAAAAAAACTTAGTAATGAATCAGCCAAACACTCTGTTCGTCACGCAGGGCCATACCGTAGGTAAGCACTGTGGATGGAGTAAGGATTGGGAGCCATTTTACAGTTGAATAAATAGAGTTTCAGATGGTAGAAACCCTGAAGTGTTTTATCTCGGGGTGAAGGCTGAAACCCCAGGATGGCAGCCATTTATACTCACTCCTACTCTGGTTCGTGCCCAGAGGGACTAACACTACGAGCCCAGTGCTTTTCTGGCATTAGAAATAGATGGCACCCACAAAGTAAGGGCTCATGGGGTGTTCGGAAAGTGGCAGGAAGTTGTTGACTAATGCTGTTGGTGCAAATGGACTCCTCAACTTGTGGTGACTTTAATACAAAACACAGATAACTTCCCTGGCCGTTGAAAGTCATTCATTTTGAAGAATACTTAGAATGCTCTCCAGAGTTAGTCATTCAAAAACAGCCTACATATTCATCCAATGATTTTTAGCCAAAAAAAATTAAAAATAAACAAATGAACAGTCTGGGTCTATAGAATACAAACTCGACAAATATAAATTCTATTCTTTATTTGACTGTAAAATTATTTTGATATCTTGACAAAAATACTTTTCTGATCAAAATACAAATGCATATACGTAGTTTGTCCCGATTCTATGTTGGTGGAGGTTTTTTTTTCTTCTAAGTTTTCTAACTCAAATGTTTTTTTCAAAACTGAATTTTTAAAAAGAACCCAGAATGACTAAAGAGAACATTAATAGAAAAAGTTTGGTCCAGATAATTTACAATAAATAAATCTACACGCACTTGCTCCTCACTTCAGGCCCTAACAAAGTCTTTCTCCCTGATGGCTCCTCTGACAAGACGGGGTTGAGACCCAGGGCTTAGCCTGGCCTTTCCTATGTGACCAGCCTCTGTCAGTGGAAATGGAATAATCATGGCCAAATACAGCCAAGTAGGCCAGCTCAGGCAATCCTTCGTTGTTTTATAATATTTTGACCATGGGGCTATGTGGAGCATACATCTAGCTCTCATTAGTTCCATGGTCTATTTGGGGGCATTGTAGTGGCTTGTCCTCATGTTTAAAGGTTTTTTATTTTATTTTATTTCTAATATACTTACATTATAAAAACTTTAGTGCAGCACTTTTACTAACAACTGATTAGTAAACTTAGCCTACTAATTAGTTTTCTGTATTTGCCTTAGTAATAGTAGTTATCGTTTACTGAAGGCTTATTTGTGCCAGGAGTTGTTCTAAGTTGAGTATATTAGTTTGCTGCATTTAAATCACTGATTCCATGAGCCCTATGCTATTACTAATATCCATTTAACGAATGTAGAAATGCATGTACAGTGGCATCTGAGTTACGCTTTGAGCCATTATGCTATGTTGCCTCACACTTTAGATTTTTAAACCTAACATTATTCTGTTAATAAAAAGGAAGGTCATATGTAATGATTCAGTTTAGCAATTGATTCTATTTTCAATAAAACTAAAAAAAAATTTTTTTATTACACTATCATGTGCCAAGCCTGTTGTAAGCATACTACACAGGTATTAATTCGCTTAATCTTTGCTCTAGTGCTGTGAGGTAGGTACCATTATTATTCCCATTGTATGGGAAAGCAAATGAAGACATTGAGAGGTTGAGTAACTTGCCCATGGCCACCCAGCTAGTATGATAGAACATATTTTTTGGTGGTGGTGGTGGTGATGGTGATGTTGCTGGGGTGGGGTGAGGTGGGGGGGAGGGGTTATGTAACTGCCAACTCGGAATTATTTTAAGATTATAGTCCTGCCATTGCTTTTTGCTTTTAAACAAATTACTCCATCTTTCTAATTTTTAGCCAACTCATTTACAAGTAATGGTTGGCAGTGGGAAGATTCTATGATCTCTAAAATTCCTTCTGATATTTCCTCTTGATTTGGTACAACAAACCCTGCAAAGTCACATGGAAAAAAGTCGTTTATGTCACTCTGAAGACTTATCCCAGCTTTTAAACTTGCTGTACGTTCTAACACTTTCTGCATATCTTCAAGAATGGTTTCAGGAAAAGGACCTAGCAGTAAGCTAAGAATGTAGACAATATTTTGTTGACCTTCAGAAGTGCCAATTTCAGCTCTGCATCTGCCAATAGATCCAGATAATCCTCCACACTATAATTCCTGGCTCCACCACTCACCAGCTGTGTAACCTGGGCAAGTATTCCATTGTTCTGACCTGAGCATCTTTCTCTGCACAATGGGGATAATAATAATCCTACCCCAACAGAATCACTGTGAGAAGGAATCAAAATAATATGTGTAAAGAATGTGCAACAGAGCTTGGCACATGGGATGTAGTGAGTAAAAATTTAGTATTATTATTGCAGAATACCCTTTTTTCCTAAGAAGGGGACAGTTGTGAATTCCACCTATTATCATAGTTGTAGAGGATCCTTCTGGGATCTGATGAAAGCCCAGACTTCAAGATTTGGAAAATTGGGCTCAACCTTTTTATCTTCAGGAGCAAAAAAAATCCACTTAAATTGCTCAATGGTTAAGATAGATGTGACTTGACACTGAACTATTGAATATTAGTTTGGTGAAGTTAGTTAATTTCAGAGGGCCTGTGTACATAAGATCAATAAGAACTAGACGTTTTTATTTAACCAGATTAAATTAACTAGGCAATAAGTATCATTAAGTTTAGTCAGTTGGACTGGATTTTCTAAAGCTTGTAAAGAATAGATTTAATCTGTCTCCCCCTCTTTAGTTAAAGCGGTAGTGGTTTTATTATTTGCTAAATGTGTTACAGTATATTTTCTGAGGACTGAAGACTATATTTTACAGTACTAGAATTTGTTTTTTTTCCTTTTAAACAACTCACCAATACAGTATATTAATTACCCAGTATATTAATTTACTGCAATCACCAGTACAGTATATTAATTTAAACAACTCATCATATATTATACAATATATGTTACCCAGTATGCATGGTAATAGAGAAGAAAGCTTAAGGAAATTTGAATTTGTGTGTGTGTGTGTGTGTGTGTGTGTGTGAGAAAACATGTGAGACTTGAAATTTAACACTACCCGGAGGTCTGATTATCCTTGCTTGTCACTTTTACTAGCGGAAACTCACTTTTGCTATTTAGAAGTGCCAAATAAATTCATCCAGTTTTAATGCTAATAAACTTAATGCAGATTCAATCTGGGAATAAACTAGGTCCTTTAAAATTGATTAAAGATTACAATAAATAATAGTTTATTAAGTATATTCACCGCAAAGTTGTGTGTACAAACATGATATGATTATATTCTGGACAAAACAAATACCCTGAATTTAGGTAAAGCTTTCAGAGCCGAAGGCTTTCATAGAGATTACATCATCCACCAGAGACCCAGAGGGGGTAAGAGATTTGGCTAAGGTTATGGAGAATAAGGGGATAGTCTAGATCTTAGCAGAGGCTTTCTTGAGCTCAGCTTGAGGGATGTCCCACTCTTCGATTGCATGCGTTCAGACAACATATTATAATCGTAATAACAATAACCACCACTTATTAAGTACATACTCTGAGCCAAGTATTCTGCTCAGCTCTATACTTACAACTCTTTGTCCCCCACCTCATAGCTCTATGAGATATGTCCAGTTTCTTCCATTTTATGGATAAATGACTGAGACTCAGCACGGTGACTTTCAAAGCGATGCAGCTAGCCAAGGACGAAAGCTGGGGGCCAGTCTCACACCCCTGGGGACCCACATGACCACATCTTTGACTGAATTTTCCTTTAAAATCAGTATTTTAATCTCTTGCAATGAGAGCTTTGGCTGTGTGCAACCGCAGAACTTGTATCCAGGGGCCGAAAAACAATGACACCATTCCTAATAATAGCTCATAGTCTTAAAAATTAACTCACTGGCTTTTAATAAAATCAAGTGTAAAAAACCTACCATATTATTCAAACATTATCTTTTAGTCTATGTAGACCATGGGATTCAAGAATATGAAGTTGGCCCTGGCTGGTATACTCAATGGTTAGAGCATCAGCTGGGTCTCAGGTTCAATTCCCAGTCAAAACATGCCTGTGTTTTGGTTGGATCCCTGCCTTGGTCAGGGAGTGTATGGGAGGCAATCAATTGATGTATCTCTCACATTGGTGTCTCTCTCTCTCTCTCTCTCTCTCGTTCCTCACCCCTTCCTTCCTTCCCTTCCATTCTCTCTAAAAATCAATGGAAAAATATCCTCAAGTGAGGATTAACAACAACGAGATTATGAACTTTTAGTCAATTCCAAGAGGATGAAACAGGATATTAAGCCTGGTGCTTTGTAAATTAATACTTTGAGGTAAACTTGAAGCATAATTAATAATTACTATGTATTTAACGCTTAATTCTATTTGAAAGAGAAACTCCTAAATGGTCAATACTATCTCTATGTAACTGGAAATTATTTGAGCGATGATGGCGCTGAGCACTTTGGGGACAATAACTACAATCCTAGTAGCTGTATCTTAGCAAAATATTTTAGATTTATTAGTCAAACTGTTAAATGTTTGTGTTTGCATTAGTTCCAAGGCAAAATGAGGCGATATTGTATTTGTTTGTTTGGAAACTTTTTTTTTTATTAAAAAAGATTTTTAATAGTAATGCTATTTTCAATACAGGTGTGATGGTACTCAATGAAGTATCGTGTACTACTTGATATAGTGAATTTCGGAATGTAACAGTCCAACTAGAAGCCGGCCCCCTCCCTCGCCATTAGCAACCCTGGTAGCAAAATGTAAATATCCTTTTAAAAAATAGAGAGGCCTTTGGGCAGTTGGGTGAGCAGAGTGGGGTGGGGTAAGGAAGTGCTCTTTCCTGACATACTCATGCTGTTGGCTTTGACTTCATCTAGTCATGTCTGTTCTGAATCAAATCCTCCTCTATGATCCGCAAAAGCGCAGGAGAAAAAAAAAGCTTGTCATTCACAAGCGGCTAAGGACAACACCAGCAGCAGAATACAGGGTGAGGGGAATCAGGGACTCAAAAAAGAAGTTAAAGTGCACAGTTACTGTAAAAAATATATTATTTTGGCCCTAAGAAAATTAAGAGCATTTTATCTAGTGAACTAGATCGCTGACCTTTTAATACATTTGGTTTTCATGGAACATACAATCACCATCGGCCATAGGAGACTAGTTTGCTTTAAAAAAAATTGCTTGGAGTATCTAAGGAATCTGTGAACACCATTCCAGGATGACATTCTGCAACTCTTTGGCAGATCTCCTCCGGTAGGTCCACAAAGAAAGGCGGTGAGTCCATCTTCTCACTCCTTCCCCAGCTAATCGCCAGTGCTTTCCAGTTCTCCGACCTCTACCCCCGTGGCCTGAGACCCGGAAACCTTGCAGAGTTTCTCAGTAAACTGCCTCTGCCCTGCCAGGGGGGACTGGCCCCTGGACGGCCCTGGGCTGGCGCCATCCCGCACGGTCTCTGTTGGGCTCTGCTCCACAGGGCCCGGGTTGGCAGTGGCCTCACAGTCTGGACTTTTCCTGGCTCCTGCGTCCACCACGGACTCCAAGGAGGTGCCAGCTTCGCGCAGGGGCGTGTAGCCCTGCTGGCTGCAGGAGAGGTCCTCGGACTGGGAGCTGAGTGAGCCCAGCCCGGCGGGGGGCGAGCCCTCCAGGTCCAAAGCGGGCGAAGGGGCGGCATCCAGGTCCTTGCAGCGCGGGGCGGGCGAGGGCTCCGGGGACAGGGGTGCCTGGCGGTCGGGGAGCCCGTTGGTGCTGCGGCGCCGCGGGGCCGCCTGCCTGCTGGTCCTGGGCAGCGGCCCGCCCTGCGCCCCGGGCTCCTGCAGCCGCCGCCTGGGCGCCCAGCGCGCGCCCCCCGGGCCGCCGCGGAGGTCGTCGGTCAAGCTCAGGTCAAGTTCGTCCCGCGGGATCTCCCCGGAGCCGCGCTCCCCGGGGGCTCTGTGCCAGCTGCAGCTCGCGCCCTCGGGGTCCCCGTCCCCGTCGCGGTCCCCTTGCAAGGGCAGCAGCGCGAAGGCGCTCAGCGAGGAGTCCAGGAGGGAGCTGGCGGTGCTCTGGCGGCCCCAGCTCCCGCGGGGGCTGCAGGGGCCGGGGGTGCTGCAGCTGCTGCCGGCGGCCGCGGTGGCGGTGGCGGCGGCGGAGGCCCGGCACCGGCCGGCCACCCCGGAGCGCTCCCGGTAGATGCTGTACACCGCCTCCGCCAGGCTCGGGGGCTCCCGCGGGCAGCGGGGGGACGCGGGGTCCCCGGCCCGGCGGTCCGCGGGGTGCGGCCAGGAGCCCCGGGCCAGCATCGCCGCCGCCCCGAAGGCGTCCCCGGCGCCCCCGATGCAGCTCCCGGGCTTCAGCTCCAGGCCCCGCGCCTGCACGCAGCCCAGGAAGCCATTGAGGGGGGCGGCCCCGGGGGGCGCCGCGGCGGCCAGGTCCTTGGCGCGCAGGCTGTGCACGTCGATGACCGTGGAGTAGAGGTCCCGCAGGTTGATGACTTTGGTCTTCTTGTCGCGGTTCTCGTGCAGCACGGCGTTGGCGCAGATGAAGAGGAAGATGCCGATGCCCATGATGAGGGGCCCCAGGACCTTGAGCTTGTCCGAGTTCAGGTAGCCGGAGAAGATGCGGAAGAAGAACCCCACCGATGTGGAGGAGGGCGGGGACGGGGCGGCGCCCGCGGAGGAACTGGCGTTGCGGCCCCTCCCCGGCCCGGGGGGCCCCTGGGCCCGGCTTTTGCTGCTGCCGCTGCTGCTGCTGTTATTGGCCGCGGTGGAGGCGCCGCGGTGGCCGCTGCTGGTGGGGGGCAGCTGCCTGCCACCCTCCCGACCGGCCCCGTTGGCCTTGGGCCAGTAACCCACCACGGCCATGGCGATGCCCACCAGCAGCACCAGGATCCCGCACAGGGCGATGAGGCCCGAGATGGAGCACAGCTTGAGCTTGCCCTTCACCACCACCACGTCGTTCTTGCGCCTCCTCTGGACTTTGCGCTTGCGTTTGGGCGCCTGGCCCGGAGGGCGCAGGGGGTCCTGCTTCCGGGCGGAGATCCTCAGCAGGCCGCCGGTGGCGATCATGGCGCGCGGGGAGCGTGCGGGGCTGGCCCCGGGGGCGGAGGCCGGTGCAGGGAGGGGGCCAGCTGCCCGCTAGCTGCTCCGCCACATCCTCCTGCTGCAAAGCAGAGGACAACAGTCAGGCGATGGGGCTTGGCTGCAGCAACATGCCCCGCGCTGCAACTGTCCTGCTCCCCCCAGCCCTCCACAGGTGTGCCTCCTCTTCCCCTACTCCCCCCCCCGCCCCCCCCCCCACACACACTAAGGGGAGTGCGGCCTGTGGCCTAGAGAGACCCGGGGTGGGGTAGATGGACTAGGGCAGTGGTCAGCAATGTCATTAGTCAACAGAGCCAAATATCAACAATACAACGATTGAAATTTCTTTTGAGAGCCAAATTTTTTATAGTTAAACTTCTTCTAACGCCACTTCAAGATAGACTATTCCAGGCCATGGTATTTTGTGGAAGAGCCACACTCAAGGGGCCAAAGAGCCGAATGTGGCTTGCGAGCCGCAGTTTACCGACCACTGGACTAGGGAAAGGCAGTGTTGTTGCAAAAATTGATAGAAGGCGATCAAACAGTTTGAGAGAAGGCTTCTCTTCCCCTCCCCACTCCCCCAATGCCTCCATTCACATACACTCTATGGCTAACATCCCAGCTTCTTCATTTCAAACTCTCCTGGCTGGCAGCCCACAGAGCTCTGACCATTAGGAGACACCAAATGTGGGGACTCAAAGTAGCAGCTGAGGACTTTCCAGGCAAAAGCCATCCTATTGGAATCAGAAGATTCCCAAGGGATTTGCCACAGGAATTTAAACTCTCGACCTAAGCCAGTAATTCGTCAAGGTGCAGTCAACAGTCGCTAAAACAGTCCCCCAAGTAACTATGGTATACAAAGGGAACTTTCACTGGGTGAAGGTTAAAGGTCATACATATGCTGGCAGCTTGTTCACCTCAGGGAATTAACAGAGAGCCCGTTGCTGGCAGAATACCCGAGAGAGGGCCCAATGCTCTCACAAATATCTGCACAAAGACGTCTTCCCCCTAAGACTGTTCCCACAGCTAAAGGCGAGCAGATCCCTTTCGGAGCCTTTTCATCATCTCTTTCCTGCAACATCTGGACAGCTTCTTGGAGGGGAATACTCAGTTTTAGGTAACCGGTTATGTAACACGGCTCTTCCTCAGGCCTCCCTCTCCTCCCTCCGAGGAGCTCCCACACAGGTACCATAGGCTAGATCGCTTCAGGAGATCTGAGAGGTCCCCAGACCCTCCAAGAGAAAGGTCTCTTTTTCCTGTGGGAAAATTACCATCTTAAAAAAAAAAAAAAGCCTGCCTTAACCGCTTTCTGACCCCTTATTAATGTGTCAACACTTCTCAGAATCCCAAAATTCAAATGAGTAGGCAATTAACTGGACACGGTGTAATAATGATGATTTGTAAAATGACATCTCCCCAACTGAGAACACATTTTCTTCATCTGTTTTTCTCACGAGGTCATTTTTTTTTTTTCTTTTAAAGAAGGGAGGGCGACAGCCATCAGGGAGTGAAGTATCCTCGAGGACATTTAGTTGTTGATAATAGAGCTGAAGTTCTGTAAATGCAGACGTGTCTTTGTGGCTATCTGTTAGTTTCCAAAAATGAAAGGCTTAGGTATCACCCACACGCCTTTTGGCATTTTATCCTTTATAAAATAATTCATGTGCCAGAATAAATTACCCTTTGAAAATGTGGGCCGGCTTAGGTAGGATTTCGCTTTTAATTGGTGCCTGGGTGAAGAGCTTTGGCCCTGGGTTCCCACCATCATATCAATCTAGGCAGGATCTTTTCTCCACCAGAGGGAAAGCAAATGGTAATCAGCTCTTTGCCGTGTTTGCAAGTCCACATCGCCTTAGAATTTAGCTGGTTTTCAGGAAGGAGAAAGACTAGGTAGGTTAGAGAGGGGTCAGTAGAGAGAATACATCTATTATAATTTTTGTTTTAAGAAACTGCACAAGTACAGACTGTTACACACACACACACACACACACACACACACACACAACCCAGAGTAGCTTATTGTCCATCTAACCCCCTCCCCCCAATAAGCACGTTTGTTATGTGGTTGTGACACCGAGACTGCTGTTTTAAGTGACCCCTTAGACTCTAGCATCTTATCTGGAGATCTGTGCTTATTTTAAGGATTTAGAAGCCAGACATTTTAGAAACAAAACCGGACTGGGCTGGCAGGTGACTCTCCCAGATGAGAGAAGGGCTAGCATCTTATTGGGCACAGATAAGACGCACCAGGCTGCTGCGTGCCCTGGGGAGGGAAGCCCCGCAATGCATTTCTCCTCGTTGGCTCTGGGTAGAATGTAAGGAAGACTGGAACTGGTCTCAGTCATCCTTCACAGAAGATCTTTAAGATTAGTTTAATAACTAGCTACGAACTCCCCGGTTTATTTTTCCTCCGCTCTGTTGAAAGCTGAGCGTCTTTCTAATGTATCACCACTAAGCATATTGGTCAGATGTGAGGGAAGACCACCTCTGAGGCTCTGAGGCTCTGAGGCTCTTCCCCCCCCCCCCCTCCCCCCCCCCCCCCGTCCCACCTCCTTCCCCAGTACAGAAAGAGGGAAAACTAACTTAGCAATCTAGGTTGGCTACCCTCGAAATTTCCTGCCCGGTGCTGTCTTTCTATGGTTAAGGAATGGAGGATGGAAGGATGGGCTGGGGGGAGTCTAAAAATACAACTGCTTCCAGGAGACACATTTCGAGTTCTGGGCTCGTGATGGATTGCGCCCCACTCTGCGGGAGAGGCTCAGAGCCCACAGGCGGGGAACGCCCTGCCCTGGCCCGGACTCAGCCCAGGTCCCGGACCCCCGCGCCCTCCCTGGCAGGACCCGCAGGGAGCCCCTCGTCCCGCTCCCCATCTGCCTGTGTGTGTCGGAGTCACAGGAGAGCAGCTGGGAGTCCGCCTCCGGCAGGAGGGCAGGCGGGAGCGGGGAGAGGGCGATCTGCACGGGCTTCTGTGGGCAGCGCATCCCGCACGGCCCGCCTGGGAGGACAGGACGGCGGGCTCTCCCGTCCGGGGACCTGGTGGGAAGGGGCAGCTTGGGGGGGACCGGGGGCAGACAGAATTGCTCAAAATGGCAGCACCAGAAGCCAACAATATCGCTCACTACTTACCCAGGGAGCCCGGGGCAGCTCAGGGCCGGCGATGGAGCGCTCGGGCGACACAAAGGCAGCATGGAGAAACTTTTTCCGCCGGAGCCGGCCGCGGGGCGCGGGGATGGCGGCGCCGCGGGCCCGGCCTCCGAGCGCGCGCGGCTCAGCAGCCCCGCGGGGGCCGGCGCCCGCCCCAGGCGCGCAGCCCGCTCGGGCGCCCGGGCGGGAGCCATTTCCAAGAGTTTCCAAGAAGTGTCAGGTCCTCCTCCCGCCGCATGCCGCCGGCGAGCCTCCTTCCCCGCCGCCGCCCCGCCGCCCCGCCGCCGGCGCCTCTTTGTGTGGCCGCGGCGGGCGCGCCGGGCTCCGCCGGGTGGAGTGGAGCCCGGGGCGGGCGGCGCGCGGCTCGGGGCGGCAGGACCGGTGGCTGTTGCTAAGAGACCGGAGCCATGACACGGAAATCGCTGCAGGATGGCAGTCGGTAGCTGCCGGATTCCGCACGCCCGGGGCGCCCCCGCCCCCGCCCCCGCCCCGCCCTCCGCCTCCTCCTGGGCGCCCCCTCTCCGCACCCCCCCACTTCCCCGGCCTCCCTCCCTCCGCACCCGCGCGCACCCGCTTCCTCTCCGGCCGCCGCGCGTCCCCTCGGAGAACCGCTTCCCCGAGGACCTGGAGGCGCGAGGGCGCCCAGAGGAGGGGTCCCCGGGGGTCGGAGGATGCGCGTCGAGAGGGAGGACCAGGCGCGTGGGGAGCCTTGGCCTCGGCCTTCCCCGCCCCCGGGCGCCAGGGGACCCGCCGCCTGTCTCCGCTGGGAGCTTTGTTCCTTTTCTCCCAACTACCTGTCTGAGCAGCGGGCCGGGAGGGCCCGGAGGAAGGGCCGCCGCTCCGCTCCGGAGGGTCCTCCCATCAGCATCCGAGGGAGGGTTGCTCTAGGTGACAGAGGGGATGGCTCCCCGTCTCCTCCCCGCTTCTTCTCCCTTCTGTGGCGTCTACTCTAGGAGGCGGACGAATCCATGGGGGAGTTTGCGGTGTGGACACTCAGCGAGCACAGTAAGTTGTCCCCCAGTAAAAGCTCGGGTCCCGAGTGGCGCCGGCCCCGCCGAGCAGCCCGGGGGCTCGAGGCTGCCGGTCTCCGGTTCTGGTCCTTGCGCTTCAGGGAAACCTAGGCTTTGTGACCGCCCTCCCCGCTGGACCTCAGCTTCTCCCTGGGAGCCAGCAGCTGGGGCACCTCGGAGATTAGAATCTGTTCTGGGCTCTTTCTGGGGCGGCCCCTCCTGCTCCTGTCAGCAAGCATGAAAAGGAAAACCTTAATTCTGCAAGGATCAGGGTGAACATCAAAGAGGGGGTGTGGGGGTGGGGAGGGTATCCACACTCCATACATCCTTTGGAGAAAGGAAGAGAGAGAGAGGGGTGCTTTCCCTGGCTCCCCCCTGGCCTCTCAACTGTAAAGTAAAAAAATGACGGAAAAGAGAATTTCAAAGTGGAATTTCCCCATGTAGGTATTGAAAAAGTAAGAAAGATTTCAATCAGCTACTGAAACGAGGCAGCCAGGATTCAGGAAGAAAGCGACCGAAGGGCAGATGAAGCAAGTGCTGTCTGTACTTGGGGTTCCAGACATAAATATTTCGGTGTATGTGTGCGTGGGGCTGTCTGGTGTATGTTCTGAGTCTTGCTGTTTAAGGGGCCACAGGACCCCCGCAGGAGGCGGGCTTTATAACCACAGTTCCAGTTACAAGGTACTTCCTCCAAGTACACAGAATTCACCCGTGTGTAAGGCTAAAGCGTACACTTTTCAAAACGAGCAGCAAAAGCACAAACATTTACAGGTTGAAAGAGATAAAAGCCGACAATGATATAGAAGGTGGTGCTAGAAGGATTGGGGAGACAAGAGGGATGGAGGATAAATATTTCCCCAAAGGAACCCTTGTACCTGCCTGTTTGGAAGTGATCTCTGTCACCTTTCCCAAGCCAGTCATGAATCAGGATGAGGATCAAGGAGTTCTGGACCCACCTCCGTTCTCCTGTCTATCCCTACTCGCATGCAGAAGGCCAGAAAGCAAGCTGCAAGGAAGGGAGTTTTAAATCCCACGTTGGACTGCTTCCTTTTAGGAAAATCACTGCAAAGGAGAAACAACTGGGTCTAACTGTCATTTTTAAAGTTGTTTTTTATTTGTTTGTGTTGTGTGGTTTTTGTTTGTTTGTTGTTTTTTGCTCAGAGCTGCTTCCAGATTTCTTGAATCCCAATAATAGTCTGGTGTTTTGTACAAAGATGGGATGTGGGAGCTCATCTCATCACACAGCTGCCTGTCAGGGGCTTTGAGTGGCAACTTCTGTCTTTTGTGGGCCTCTGTCTGCCGAGCTGTATACACTGGAATAATACTGCAGAACTTCATTAGGATTTTAGGTAGGTTAAGCCACTGATGGTTTAACATTTCTGCATAAATTATAGCCATTATTTGCACATCTGAAACTCATTGGAGGGATTTGGAGAAGAGAAGAATTCTTTTCTAGACAAACAAGCTTTGGGACAGAGCTATTTTTTCTCCTATGTTGATGACTACAATAAGATTTATGCTTTATTAATCAAGGGCTTCCTTTCAAACTGAGCTCTTTGGAACTTTGAACTGCTCTATTTAACCCAAGTGTTAGCGCCTTCAGTAATTTCCTTTGTCTTCAGCTCAGGGGATCAGAGAAAAAATCAGATGGATCACGTGTGTTTCCAGTGGAGTCCTTGATGCCCTCTGTAATAACATAGTATCAACATACATTCCCAGGAGGTTCCAAGTTATATACAGTTCTTTTCAGAGGAACAATGATGCTTTTGGCCTTCCTGGAGTTATTTTTCCTTCTAGTTTCACTGGCTGTTCTGTTTAGATGGTTTCTGAGATTATGGGACACCCATTTTCATCCCGCTGAGGATCAAAGGGCTAAGGCTACCTCGTCATGATAATTCTCTAGTGTCTCAGGAACTGAGAGTTCAGCACAGCATTCCCTGGAGCTCAGCACAGCATTCCGCATGTCCTCGCAGGAGAATAATGAAGGCTGGGGGGGGGGGGGGGGGGGGGGGGGGGGGGGGGGGGGGGGGAGGGGGAGGGGGGGAGGGGGGGGGAGGGAGAGATGAGGCAAAAGATTAGCCAGTTTAGTTGGATTAAACTCTGACCTGAAACTTTTCATTTGCTCTTCCTTATGTAATTTATCAGTTTCATAATTTATTCACAACCCATGTACTTGCCCTGATCATTTCATCACCTTGTCTGGCTCTCCAGCCTATGTGTCCCAGGGCTGCGCAGGAGGAGATGGTGGCTGCTATGGGCCCACTCAGGCACCTCTTGGTCTCCAAGAGCATGCAGTGGGAAAGGGATCAACAGCTCAGCAACTCCTCCCTCTCCACATGCCCTGCTCTCAGATGGTCTGGGCTGCAGAAACAAGAAACAGAAGTAGTTTAGCCTATTGGGTTCTGGAACCGGTTGTACCCTTCACTTAATTTAAGTAAATAAATGACTTAAGCTCACTTGCCTTAGTGTCTCCATCTGTAATGGAATAACAACACTAATGCCTACCTCAGAGCATTGCTGTGAGGAATAAAAGAGTTTAGTTCATGTGATGTAGCTCATTAAAGGTAGCTGTCATCCTTAGTCCTAACATCCTTTCCCAGCTTGTAACCCTCATTCTCTGGCTCTGTTCACACTCTCCAGGATCTTTGTGAGACCATAGCTGCACTTGTCTTCTCTGAAATGAGGTTACAGGGTCAGCTGCTCTGATTGAACTGTGCCTGTCCACATGCCACATGCTACTTCACTCATTTTGCAATTAGGGCAAAGCCCTTTCATTTTAGTTTGCTGGAGAATCCATATTTCAAAGTCATGTCACTCTTTAGTCAAATTAAAAGTTTGCAAAAGCAAACAAACACCATTACTCATCCCTCCCCCCACCAAAAAAAAAAAAAAAAAAAAAAAAAAAAAAAAAAAGAGGACCTTCTTTAGACTGGAAGTTTGAGGATTTCATGGCAAGGACTCTTGCCAGAAGCTAATTCCAGCACATCAGCAGGGCTGAATCATTTGGAGATGGTTGAGGGCATTTCCCCAAACTGAAAAGGATGAATAAAATGATTGCTTGCTGCCAGACAGCCAAGGGCATCTTAATCTACATGTTATTGCCTTCTACTGGCCAAACAACTGAACAGACATAGGCAAATTCTTCCAACCTGACAATGAATTGTGTATACAAAATCCTACTCATTGATGTGTATATCTCCACCTTGTCTTAAGACAAATTGTGTTAATAAAAAGCAAGGGGTCCTGAGACAAGGAGAACTTAGTTCTTTAGCTAAGTCTTCTCTGACTCCTATAATGCCTTCCAAAATTGTTTCATCTCTGGATTCTTGATTAATTTATGCAACAGCACCTTTTCCAGGATCATGAACCCTTCTAGATGCCAGATCCAGACCTCCAGCATTAGACTCTCAAGCCTTCTTATGGCATCTTTACAACAGAAATAGGGAACCATTACCCCAAGGTTGAAAACAGGATACAAAATACCTCACTTCTCCTCTTTCCTTGTTCCTTCTTTATACCCCTACAAAAAAAAAAAAAAAAAAAAAAAAAGCAATATGACAAAAGCTTGGCAAAAGAAAACAAAAACTAAGCACTAGATACAGCAAATAAAATATTGGCACATACACTGAAAAATGATTGTTCTCTACCAGAAATTCAGATTTTCCTGGGCATCCTGTCTTTTATCTGCATCCTCACCACAAAATACTGTACCTTGGCAGTCTCACAATTTTTCATGGTCCATGTAAAGGATAAAATAACCTGATCAGAAAGAAAATAGGAAATCCACTAGTGAATTAGGGCTCCATTATATTTCTTTTGGAACAGAATAGGCAGGAAAAGAAAACACTGAACAGAGTCTGGATGGAGCAATAGAATTTAGGAGTCCAGCAATGGTACTTCCACAGCTGAGCCATGCTGGCTTTGGGGTTTCTCATTGTCAGAGGTTACATGGTTGGTGTTTCCAGCTCTTCCCGATGGAACACTGCCATGCCAGAGGGTATGTGCTTGTTGTGCTCCCCTTCCTGTAGCCCCACAAATGGACCTGTAAGAGGTACAACTCAGCATTATTTTTAAGAACCTCAGTTTGGAAATCAGCGGTAAACTCATGCTAGTGTCATAGTCATGATCAAGCCTTTTCCTTATATTTCTCAAAGGTTTCAAAGAGTTGAAGGCCATTGCTTCTACCACAGGGGAAAGGAAATGATGAAATGTCTAAAGAGCCTTCCTCAGAGTGGAGCTTCTACCTGTGCTCCAGGTAAATGGCATGTAGCAATGACAGCCTTCACCTCTGCCTCCAGCCTCACTCCTTCTTAATATAACAAATCACAGGGCTGCCAATTAGAGACCAGCGGTTGTTTTCTCTAATAAGCAGATTTGTTTGTGTACATCCAGTTTTCCCTTTTAGCTCTTATTTTTTCTCCCATTTTCCATGCAC